CAGCCCTGGCACAGCCCAGCCAGGACACTTCAGTAAGCCATCAAATCAATACTGAGGTGTTACTTTGACTAGGTAGGCTGGTGCAGAGGAACAGGAATAAGTAGAACTAGCTGCTTGGTGTAAATCACAAAAGGACAGCAAATAGATGAGAGAACTGAAGGGGAGAGGAACAAAACCAAAGCATTACAAAAAAGAGGAATAAAAGCCACAAGAACTTGGCATGCTTTTTTGTTGAGAAGAAAACATGAAAATCCATTTTTTTCTCAAGTAAAAATTTGAGACCACCAACAGAAACCAATGAGTGGTTTCTCAGTGGATATTGTATTGAGAAATAATATGTATCTGAGGAAGTGCAGGAGCAAAAGAAGGCTGAAATGCACTCTGGTACTCACAAATACAGTGAAGCCCCCAAACCCTGTCCACTACTGGGAGCTGTGGACCTAAAAGTGAATGTTTTCCATTAGTCTGTCCTGTGTATTTCAAACCTTTTGAACGTATCAAGGATCAGAACCCTTACGTGTACCATGTGGCAGGTGAGTATAGGAGAGGTTGCTGCTACTAATCTCTTGCTGTGATACCCTTTCCATGTTTGAAGACACTCCTTTTTATAGTAAATAATCATTATTTAAATAGAGAAGCCATCAGAGAATAACTAGTGTGGTTGATTGGTTTGTTTTCTAGTGGTGTTGATGTTCCCAAGCTTTGTTTCAAACTGGTTTGGGGGTTTCTGTTAAAGCTGCTCTTAGTTTTGTAGCTGTCTACCAAATAATGCATAAGAAATGTTTTTGTCTTTGATCTCTGGAGGACTTGCTATGAAAACAGAAATTTGGACTAGTTTTCTAAATATGGAAATAAGCAGCATTGAGTCTCTTCTTGGGTTTAGTTTAGCTTTGTGTTCTTAGTATTTTGAGTTGAGAACATTTTGAATCCTCAGCAAAGGAACAGATAATGTTAACTCGTTTACCCAATTTTAAATTCTCGGACCTGCTTTCTAGGGTGATAAGATGAGGTAATCAGACTGAGCTCTGGGCAAAGTCCAAGTGATTATTGCCTCAAATTAAACAAATACCTTTATCTGGATGGATATTCTTTGGCTATGGAGTTAGTCTGTCTGAAGCTGGAGAAAGTTCAGTTACTGACAGTGGGACTGTTTCCATGTTTACATTCCTTTTTAATAAAAGGATGAAAGTTTTTCTCCTATGTAGTACTAAACATCTTTTATCAAGGTTTAATGCAATTAAATAATTTCAGTTCTCGGGAGTAAAATCTTCGTATAATGAACAGGTACAATATGTAGAGTTCTATTTTAAACAAATTTAGCTTCATACCTTCTGTGATCATTCTGGTTTTGTTATGTGACTCTGAATGAGACACTGCATGGTATTGAGTTCTGTCTGTCTTGGGTCCCACCATCTGTACGGCCAGTAAGCAATGTGAAAAACATAGTAATTGACATAGGGAAGGAGAGTAATAGATAAAAAGAGAGTGAGAACAAGAAGCAGGTGAGTATAACAGGACAAAGGCCTGAAGTGTGGGTTTGCTTTTTTTAAAGTATATTAGGTATGACTTTAAAACTACATAATGTATTAAAAAGTATAAGCAATTATTTTACCAAATATTTTAGAAACATACAATTTAAGCTATTTTTTTTCTTGGCTGTGCTTTATAGGTATTTACTCTCAATGTCCCGGATGCATTCTACCGCTGCTACAGCCCGACTCTGGAGAAGACAAAGGATAAAGACACTGTGATGCACGTAATGGCCGAACAAATCGTTACCTTATGTGCCACGCTGGATGAGAATCCAGGAGTACGATACAAAAGGTGGGGCAAAACTACTCTTGTATGGTGTAGTTGCTTTCATGCCTAGGACTTGCCACGTTATTTGGTAATAGCTTAAGACTGCAGCACAGTTTCTTTTGTTGTGGGCTAATTGTTTTTAATCCACAGCTCAGAAATGTGAAGTAATAGGAATTTTGTAGGCAGAGGAGTGAATTCTTTCTCTGTGTGTATTCATGTAACTACTTACCCTCTTTTGTTATGAACTGCTTGTTTCATGTTTGGTCAGCAGGATGACACTGTAATGTGCTGCATTCTGACATGCTGCATGTGAAATCCTGTAACAGAACTGCTGCTGATGGTAGTTATGCTGCTCCACTCAGCATCAGGGAGTTCATCAGTTGCTGAGGGTGATGGGATCAGGATTTCTTCGTAATATTGATATTGAGGAGAATACTTTTTTGAGCTTTGATGGAGTACAGAGTAATATCTTTTTGAAGTGAAAGCAGACATCTGTAATTATGCTCAGGAATTGCATTCTGTGCTGTAACGTGAAGTGGGGCTGTATCCTCTGCAAAGGTGACAAAGAAATAATCGCTTGACTGTGTTTTCTTTCTTTTTGCTCTCCTGTTTTCTGCTTCTTTTCTTGACTGTCTTTTGGCTGAAGCTGTTTCTGCTGTGTGAAACGCCTGAGGCATTCAAAGAGTGGAATCATAATCTGAGTGAAAATATATTGGAAATACTTAGAATGGAGTTCAGAAACTGCTCGTGAAACCAGAGGATTGCTCTAGGGAGTTCTTGCTGTCTTAAAGGTAGCATTCTAGTGTTTTGATGAGGAAATTTATTTTTGCATGCTTCCTTTTTTCCCAGTGGACCATCTGATAAAGCCAGCAAACTTGCACAGCTTGTTGAAAATAGTCTTGAATACTACTACAAAACTGATGAGAAAAGCCAAATAAAGGTAGAAAGTGAGCTAAAATGTTTACTTTTTTTTTTGTAAGTCTGGGGGAGGGAAAATCTTTGGCAAGTGTTTTGACTGTAGGTTCTACAAAACCAGATTTTATTTAATAATAAATGCGACTAGTTGCCATTGAGTTGCTTTTGTGTATGAAAGCAACTTAAAGTAGCAACAACTATTTTGATTCGATGACATTCCCCTCCGCTACGGAAATAAATTTACCTGATGCTACTGCCACTTTACTAAACCCTAATATGAAACTTTCAGTTGAACGTTTGGCAATTACTTGGGTTTTTTTGTGTTGTAGCACAGCATAGATAATCTGCTCCGAAAGGCAATACACTACTTGTGAAGTCAGTGGGAGACCTTTTCTGTTTTTTTCATTTTATTTTTTATACATGAGATTTACTAAAGGCGCTGCACTAGGAGCATTGCTGTAACGTTAGTATTTAAAACCACTGTCTTCTAGTTATTTAAACACTTGTTTCTATTTATGATGATAAACAGACCATACTTTTTATTTTTTTTCAGTTATTTTTCAAAAAATGTCTTCATTGCTTAGATTTAACCTGTATTAACATTGTACAGTATGTCTTAACTTTACATTTGTTTGATGGCTTTCTAGGGTAAAACTCACTCTCAACTCATAATAATTGATCGTGGCTTTGACCCAGTCTCGACTGTACTTCATGAACTCACCTACCAGGCAATGGCATATGATCTGCTGCCAATTGAAAATGATACTTACAAGTAAATAGTTTAAAAACCAAAAATCTAACCACTTTATTCTTGAATTTAAGATCTATAGAATTGTTTAGCTGAACTGCACCATAACAATATTAGCTGCTTATATTATGTAAGAGTTGCTTTACTTTACTAGTCTGTCCTCTTGAATTTGTAAATTCCTCTTTTCGTTAACTTCCTCGTTTAGCTGAGATTAGATAGGATATAACTGAGATTTTTGCTTAGTTTTGAGTCTTGGCAAATAGCTTTTTTTTTTTTTTAAACAAAGAATTTTATTCTAGACTCGGAGCAAAACCACAGTAGTGAGTGTTTGTATTTTCTGCCTTTCCTTTCATTTGCTCAACATTCTTGGCCTAACAAGGCTAACAAGAACAGTAATTTAATACTGAGAAAAAGCTTAGTTGTTTCTCAGGAATGTTCACTTTAATAGCTTCAGTCATTTCATTTGTGCAGTTGTGCGTTTAGGATAGAAACGTGTAAGTTTTTTAACATTTGGGTGAGCTGTGTTCAGTTTAAGTGCTATTTTATCTCTGTTTAGAATAATGTGACATTGTTTTGCATAAGGTATGTACTTTGCTGTTATGATTGTTCTGATGCCAAAGATTTTGGTAAGAGTTTGCTAATGAGAACTAATTGCCTCATTTAGTTAAGAAAAGAGGAGTACATATCTTCTGTCAGAAACAGAGTGAACGTTTTCATAGAAAATGTAGAATTCTATAAATTTGAAATTTGCTGGGTATGAAAACGTACCAGTGTGTTTTTTTAGGTAATCATGGTCCAAGTTTCACACTTAATCTTGTAATTTCTTTTTTATATTTTTCTTTCCTGGACATGCACACTATGTGAGTTTCTGTAAATGTGAAAATGTTATGTAGTACAATTGCTGTATTGCTTCATAGGTTTATTTCTGTGTGTAGAAAAGTAATAGCTGGTCTGTAATGCTGTGAAGCATGTTTCTTGTGTGTTTGGAGTAATTTGTCATCCTTAGTCTTTTCTACTAATGAATGGGGCTTTGTTTGTATTTGAAGCCAAAGGGAAGTTATTAGAAGCTGAAGAGAAATTTAAGGTGCATGTAAATGTAGGATTGAAACTCTAGTTACTGTAGGTTTAAAAGTGTCTGGAAGCTGTTGCCCCAGACAGTCAGTCATTCTAAAATTCATCTATGTCTATGTTCAAAATGTAATTGGTAAAATCCTTATGTAAATTACTTTGTGCCAGGCAATAGCTTGGCTTATGAGTTAAAACCTGTGTATGCTACTGCTGTTGCCATGTACGTTGATTAAGCCATAACTGTTAATACTCTAAAGAGTTATGAGACGGGAGGGTGGGGTGGGTGACAACCCAGCCCCAAAACTAAACTGTCTAAATTTTCTCTTGGAAGATACAAAACAGATGGGCTTGCTGGGAGTGAACGGGAGGCAATTCTGGAGGAAGATGATGAGCTCTGGGTGAAGATTCGGCACAAGCATATTGCAGAAGTGATAGAGTATGTGGACAAATAACAAACTGGTTAAAAATGCGAGTTATAAGTTTCTTTGAGAGGGAATGTGTTTGACCTGTTAAGTAGGAATACAGGCAATAGTGAAGGTGATTTGCAGTGTATCCTGTTAAATAATTGATGCCAGGAATAAAACATACCTTCAAAAATACAGTACATACAGAGGTATGCAATTTTACTAACACTAATTGCTGTTCTTGAGGAAAATGGGGAAAAAGAAATATTTCCTGGGAAGTACCTTCAAATCTTTTAAATCAGAATTTTGCATAAAGTACTGTAAGTTATTGCATCAAATGACATTATGCAGACACCAAAAACAATGTTTATGCTTAACTTCAGTTTCCTGTGTCAAAAAAAACTCTTCTCTGAAGGAGACCTGTATTTGAAGCTGTTAATTTCATTCAGAAGTTCTTGTGCAGTTCTTTTAAGATTTTAAATAAAGATTGTAAGATTTAAAAATTGTTGTGCTATGGCATTTGATTGCTTCTCTTTGGCTGTTTTCAGGGAAATACCAAAACTGTTGAAAGAAGTTTCATCAAAAAGAAAAGTAACAGAAGGAAAAGTAAGTTGTTTAAATTATTGATATTTTTCCTGGTAAATTATCTTCAGCTGATCAGGTCTGTGTTTCAGATCTGTTATTCATAGATACATTACAGAAATTGAGGCCTATCTCAGTGATGATTTTGGGGGAGGGAAAAAAAGCAAGGCTGCAACAGGAAGCAGGAAGGGAAATAAGGATGTCAAATATTGGTGAGAAAAAATTTCAACTTGTATTATTTCTTCACAGTTATCAATATCTGCTCTGACTCAGTTAATGAAAAAGATGCCTCACTATCGCAAAGAGATTAGTAGGGTAAGGGCTCTTTTGTAACTGCAACTTCACTGTAAATCATGTTGTACACTATAATTTTCTGTGTTGTTTAAGTCTAGTTTTCTACTGTCATTTTTCCACTAAGTGTGCTGTATAACTTCTTTCCAAATTAGTGTGTTCACCTACTGCAAAATTTTGAGAAGAAAACTCTTCTCCAGGTGTTTCATTTTACTATTTAAAAAAAACCCAAAATTATCTGTGTGCTTTAAGGACTACAGATAGCATAGCAGCTAAGTGTGTTCAGAGGTATTAGGGGGGCCAGTCTTGAAGTGAAGGGTAAAACACAGAAAATGTGTGGTGGTACTGAAGAACAGTTGAAGAACTGACTCTTGTAACCGGTAAAAATGCTTGCTTGCTTGGTGTTTGGTGGTGGTTTTTTTTTTGTTTTTTTTTTTTTAAGAAAGTAATGGCTGCGCTTTTTTTGTCTTCTAGCAAGTTGTTCATCTTAACATAGCAGAAGATTGCATGAACAAGTTCAAATCTAACATAGAAAGGCTCTGTAAAACTGAACAGGTACGTTTAAAAAGCTGCAAAGCAAACAACTTACTGCAAATGTGACTTTCTTGTTTGCAGAATTAGATGCTTTTTCTTCACAGATGACAGTAGTGCTCTCACCTTTTTTAATCTTGTTTTGCATTAGTAGTAGTAAAGCCAAGTTGTACAAGGCTTTTACTTTGCCATTAAAGGAGATGCTTTTAGAGATTTGGGTTTGTCTTTTGAATCTGGCTGATTTGTATAAGGATCATCTCTTTAATTGCTCAAAACTTCTGTGAAGTTGCCTTACTATGCTCTGCAGAAGAAAGCCCTTTTAAACTACTTGGGAAAAGCCCCTGTTTAGGGCGAGGCATTACGTTACACTATTAATCTCAAGTTAAAAACCATATATTTATATGAATTGTAGATCTAAAACTGTTCTAAGTATTTACCAGTTATGCGGTGTTATTATAATGCTGCAGTACTGAAATAATTATGCCAAAGACTTTTTATACTGAGTTTCAATTGAAGTAGCTTGCTTGTTTCCTGAAACCTATGGTTTTGTAAAAATGCATTTCAAAACACACAAAATAACGTGCTTTTTTTTTTTAATAACTTTTGTTACTTGTTTGTTTTAATATAGGACTTGGCTCTTGGAACCGATGCAGAAGGTCAAAAAGTGAAAGACTTGATGAGAGTCCTCCTTCCAGTTCTGCTCAACAAAAGTCATGACAGCTATGACAAAATCAGAGCTATTCTCCTATATATCTTTAGCACAAACGGTAGGAAAGCTGCCCTATTTTTTTTTTTTTCTCAGTACTGTGCACTACAAGTTTTGAAAGATATACTCTCCATTCTCTGTAGCTTCTCTTACTTAGTAGCAAAGATACTATTGATAAGGATTTAAGAGATTCAATAAAAGTACAGATCTCTACAGTGTTTTAGCATCATTCCTGTGCTTGGACGTGTGCAACAGTTTACATTTTCTCCTTTTCAGAAGTTGTTAAAGGGGGAGCTCCATGTCCATTGCAACATGAAAATTAAGTCAGTGGGGGAGAATTTGTAGTAAAAGGAGGAAACTGGCAGAATGTTGGTCTGAGGAATCTGTATCAATACTGAGTTTTAGTCTGAAAATAGAGCATTAAACACAATTTATCTAAAAAATGGCATTAAAGTTAGATTGGCCAAACAAAAAAATCCTGGGCAAAATAACAGCCCAGAATGTGAGACAAAATTTGTCTTACTCACATGGTAATTAAATTGTGTGTTTTCCTTATATCAAAGGAACTACCCAGGAGAACTTGGAGAAGCTGATCCAGAATGTACACATAGAAAGCGATAGTGATATGATAAGAAATTGGAAATACCTGGGCGTGCCTGTTATCTCTTCCGTAAGAATGTATTTTATTATGCAGTTTCCTACCACTCAAGCACTTCCCTGTAGCTCTTTCACCAACTATTATCAGTATTATCCAGTTTGGTTTTTTTCTTAAGCAGGCAGTTGCTAGCAAGTCTTGTCTTTATGATATATCTAAGTGGTAAATCCTTTAAACAATTAAAATGAATAATTTTCTAAGTAAGATACCTATAATGCTGCCTCTAAAATCTTCAGAGGGCCACTTGACCTAGGTGGTTTTAGAAGGTGCCAAGTTACTTCCTTGTCTCTGAAATTAATATTTCTAGTGCATTGTACAAGTAGTAATTGTTGTTCTGTGTTTTTACTACTATTTCTTTAAATTCCCTACTGATTCCCTTCCCCCTACTATTAACTGGGAGTAAGTTTCAAAAATCCAAATATGCTTTATAAAGCAACCATGTTTTGACAATCTTTTTCAGCCCACTGCTCAGCAGCATAAATACCCGAGAAGGGACCGTTCTTCAGAGGAAACTTACCAACTTTCTAGGTGGACACCTGTTATCAAAGATGTTATGGAGGTAAATTTGACCAACTAGTTAATTCATGGGTGCAGTGTAGAAACTTACTTAATTATAGCAGTTATAGCCTGTCCTTTGAATTGCCATAGTATCTTGAATTCCTGTAAAGTACAGCAAAGCAAAGGGATCACTTTTGGTCTGTCTGTAATACGGAGTGTTGGCATGCTGTGTGTTAGCCATGCTCCTTACTGGGGGTAGTTTTAAAGGAGAGGCAAATGACAGCAAAAGCTGAACGTCTTTTTGAACAGCTTGTCCTGTGATTGGCAGTGTTTAGTGTTAATTTAGAGATTTGGATTTTTTTTTTTCCTGCAGCTGGTCTTTAAACTGCAATTCAGATCTAAACTGCAGGTCAGAAGAGGCTGGAAAATGTTCCTTGCCAGAAGTGTAGTTGCTTTGTTTTTAAACGACTTCCTAAGCATCGGTTTCTGACTGATGTCAGGCAGAATAACAAGCCCACTGGACCTTTAGTCTGACCCAGTGTTGTCATTCATAGATTCTTAGTGACTTTCACATGTTCATTTTTTGTCTTCCAGTCACCCTAAAATCTGAATAGTTAAATCAATATTATGTTTATAAAAAAAGCATGTGGGCTCCCAATTCCTTGTGATATACAAAAACCTTGTAATAATGAGCTTTGTTGTGTAGCATCTTGCTGCATAGGAGCGTTGTTCATGAGATGCTGCTTGTGATTAGTTGTTCTAAGGAACTGCATGTGCTGGCATTAAATTCCAGCTAGATATTCTTACTGGAAGTTGAAATTTGCTGGGTCTTTGTGGCTGTTTAAAGGAGGTCTTTGTTTTGCCCTTCAGGATGCTATAGAAAACAAAATAGATGCAAAAGACTGGCCTTATTGTTCCCAGTGTCCTCCTACCTGGAATGGTGCACGAGCAGTAAGGTAAGTAGTTTAATTTCCTGAAACGTAATTTACCTATTTCTCAGTATTTTTTGTCACAGATCTTCTAAAGCATAATAATAATGTTCTTTTACTAAGTGGTGAAATAACGTGTGTAAGGTAATGTTAATATCTAAACCCTATACTTTTATTTCATCTAAAATATACTGAACTTTGCTGTTAATCTAATAATTCTTCATAGCTGTATATAGCTTTCTATTTGGAGTATCTCCCTTTTGCCTCAGACTTAGAAATCTAACATTTCCATGTTCCCAGAATGTGAAGTCTAAACCATTGAGCTTTTTAGTGTGAAGTAATTTAAGGACTGGATTATCAGTTTGCTGAAGCTTAGACAAAGAATGTTTTCATTTCTTTGAAAAGTTAATTCTCCTGTGGTGGTGATGGGATCATTCTTGAAGTTAACAACTTGAGTAAATTAACTTCTGTAAGCTCTCTCATGAGGGGAATATGGGCCTATTAAACCTTTAACCCCTGTTGTGAGGGGATGGTTTAGAGAAGTCCAGAAAAGCTGGAGGTCTTGAAATTAATTCTCTGCTCATGAATGTAAACAGTGTGTTGTATGTACACACAGATGCATATTTACTGAGTAGCACTCAGAGATGAATTGGGAAGCTTTCTGTGGTGTTTTTTTTTAGCTCACTCACTTACACTGTCCCTTCTTTCACATTTTAAGCCTGCTAGCTCTTGAGCCTTGTAACCAATACCTGTCAATTTGACAGCTTTATCACTTTTGGTAGCGTTATTTAAATGGTGAGCTAAATAGAGCTAAGAGTGTTATTGCAGAGTTCTGGTCAGATTCTGGCATTCATAGGCAGAGAAACATTATACGTATCCTGAGAGTAGAGAACAGATTCGAACCGGAATTAGTACCTTACTAAATAAAAGACAAAAGGTACAGAAACACAGACTTGGGAAAACAGCTCTGCTACTTACACTTCTAACCAAAAGAAAGCTTGTGTCCCCTTATGTTCCGGGGTATATGCTGTGGTGATCAGTGCAAGGAAACGTTTTCTGTTGTAACGGGATTTGTGTCTTACAGGCTGGTAACTTCTGGGAGTCTTTTTGGCACACTAGCAAAGAGAGAGCAGGACTGCAGATGGTTTAATCTGAATCTGCAGTTAATAAATATGCATTAGAAAGTATATTTTAAGAGCTTTTCTTTTTTGTTCTTGGCTATCTCAATCTTATTTGGTAACAGCCAACTTTTTTTTTTCTTAGAGATCTGTTCATGTTTGGAGACTAAAAATCCTAAAACTCTAGCTTTTTCAAATGAACCTCTCATAAAAAATGCCACTGGAATTGCTAGCATGCGTACTTACGCTGCTTGGTAGAAGTCCTTTGTGTGTGAGCTGTGTGCTTTTTATTTGCTTTCCCTCTTGTGACAGCTGAATAGTTTGAGTAATTTGCTAACTTGTTTTCGTGAAATCTCTTTTAATTATCGATTTGTCTAAGTTATTTTGCTGAAATCATAGTCGAAGCCCGATCTCCGTGACAGAAAGGGTTAGTGCTCGCTGAGCGTGCGAGCTGAGGCGCGAGGCTGTGTGGCTGTCAGGGTGTGGCCTGTGTTGCAGCGCGCGGCAGAAGCCCCGGGCCAGCTGCCGGGAGGAGCGGAGGGGCGGCGCCAGGCTGATCCTCTTCGTCATCGGGGGGATCACGCATTCCGAGATGCGCTGTGCCTACGAGGTGTCTCAAGCCTACAAGTCCTGTGAAGTTTTTATTGGTAAGCTTGTCGTGGGGAAAAGCGTGCTATGTAGGGGTTTACTATGTCTGTTTCTGGAAAATGTAAAGATTTTTTTTTTTTCTTAACTTCCCAGAGTTGGTTTAGTAAACTAATAGTATAGCCAATGTATTTCTTAAAACTATGCACTTACAAGAATCTTTTCAATTTATGTGGATTGCTGGAGGTTTGGGGTCTTTTTTGCGACAAGGTATCAAAGACATTAAGTACAGTTATGCTCTACAGAAGAATCATAATGAATTACATTGGAGAAATATATTAAAGTAGCCTGATGAATAGCAAAATGGATTTAAACAGACCTATAATTCTTTGTGTTAGTTTCCTCAAACTTACGCATCTGCCTGTGCTTACCTTCAGCTATGCTTATTCCTTTGATTGCTTTTGGAAGCAGTAGGAAAGCTGGCAGACTACTGCAAAATTACTTGCTCTGAGAGTAAGGGAAGATAAGTATTTAAAAACGGAAAAAAAACCACAAGCCACAGAACCCCCTAAAGCCCCGAACAAAACAAACCCAGAAAAACTTTTTCAGTGTAGCTCAGTTGACTTTGCAACATCTCTTACTTCTTGTTGCGGTTTCTGTCCACAAACCACACCATGATTGATAGCTTTTTACCCTGAAAACTGCTAATTTTAAGATTGAGCAGTAAATGGAATAACTACCAGCTGAGGTAGTAATGTGTTGCTTAGTACTTCAGAGGCAGCAAATGCTTGTTCCATTAGCTGTGCTTCAAGTAATAATTTCTTGCAACGCTGTTCAAATGCAGGTGCTAAAACATGTACATATAATAATGTATCAAAACAGAGCTTCTAGATCAAGAACCTTATGGAGACCTGTGTCCAGCTGCAGTGGCATCTGGCAGTTATCAAAAGTGTTCTAGATTGCTTGAGATGCCTATGTCTGGCAATTAAATTTAGTCTTGAGTTTCAAAAAGGGTTAAATCTATCTAGCATAGTTTTACACAAATACTCTTCCCGGAAGTGATGAGAACCTTGATTCTGAGATTTAGAGTCTGTTACCTCAGAATGGTAGGGGGTGTTGTAGATGTGTTTGAGTTGGTTGGGAATTTTTTGGTTTATTGTTTGTTTGCTGTTTTCATTGGTGGTGGTTGAGGTAGCTTTAATGCTGGTCCTAGTTTTGAGTTGCAATGGAAGGACCAGGTCAACAGGAATGTAGTTTAACAAGGCTGTTTCTTCATCTGAGACTTGTTGACAAAACCACGTTGAGTGTAGGTCCCTCTTTCACTGTAATATCTGTCACTAACCACAGCACCATCTCCACTTCTGTTCAGAGCTGTTTCTTCTAGTTTTGTTTGTAGCCCTGATTTCTGAGGGAAGGTGATTACTGCCAGATTTCCATGCTGCTTACTGCAAGATGAAAATCCTCCTGCATTCCTGATGCAGACCTCAGTGAATGTTATAGCCCACTCAGATTGACACTATTAAAACTAAAGGGTCAAGACAGCCCTAGTCTTAAAAAATTAAGAGTTTGCTTTGTAACTGTAGGATGACCTTTCACAGCAGAAGTTGTAATCACTCTGAGAGCAAGAGAGGTAGTTGTGCACTCCTGAAGAATAATGACTTTCTTTGCTGCTTCAGACCTGGAATTTATTGCACTTTTTTTCAAGGAAACATTAGTCAGTAAAAGCCAATTCTCTGTAACTGATATACCTGTGGAGAACTACTGTTTGTGATATCTTATCCACATGGTTTCTTGATGCTAGGACAAAGCTTGTCATTAACTGACTCTTTCAGAAAGCAGATTTCTTGCAGGCTAGACAGGTGAGTGCAGCAAAAGTGGCCCAGGCTCAAGATTTTCTCAAACCAGGCAGAGGGACTTGAAACTTGTATCCCAAGTGGTAGTCCTGCTCTGGGTATCTCAGTGTGTGGAGGAGGGACACTCCCTACCTAATGGAGACACTCACCTTTATATGATGACACTGTATATGATAACATGTGAACACACTTTGAAGTGTTGTACTTTTCAGTTTTCCAGGTACAGTAAAAAACACTGGCATGTAACTGGTATTTTTTTTAAGAGGGAATGTCTGAAAGTCAGACATTCAGATTGGTATAGTTAATACTTATGTTCTTTTGTCAGGTTCTACTCATATTTTGACACCTAAAAGACTACTGGATGATGTGAAGAGCCTTAGTAAACCAAAGGATATGGTCTGCCTTAAGGATGAATAGAAATTGTGATGTTTATGATGCACTAGGAAGAGACCAATAGTATGTACATATTCTAATGGAATTGATTTTTCCAGGTACTGCACTAGGACACTACATGGTTCTGACTAATAGAATGTAATTTTATAATTTAAATTTGCTGCTTTTTGGGGAGAGTAAAAGGTAGAGAGAGAAAATAATCAACATGTGTGTTTCTTAGGTTGTGTTTACTGGAAGTGCTTTTACAAAAGGACACTTTCATTTCTAACAAATCATGCTAGAAGTTATTGTGATTTTACATAAATGGGAATTATCTTTGAGAACTGTGAAACTTTTCTATAATAGTTTTTTTTCTAAAATGACTGGGTTAAAAAATGCCTAGGCTCTTATGTAGAGGCTCCAGAAGAAAATTTGTAAATGAATTTATGGTAAAAATATTTCACAAGTGCAAGTGTCTTTAATGTTGTCTGTAAAATAATGTGCTGAAAGATTCTATAAATATATGTAACTGAAAATAAAGTTTTTTTTGGTGGTGGGTGAGGCAGAAAGTTAATCATGGAAGTACGAAGCATTTCTGATTTTCAGTGAATAACTGGAAAAATGCTGTCAACTGTGCACTGAAGTACACTTTAATTATGAACAGGGATTATAACTAAGCTTTTCAAAAGGATTTCACTGCTTAGAAAATTCCTTATGATTGTGTCTACATAGTCCATCTGTTTTAGAAGTTGAATAGCCAGTGACATAGAGGTTCCAAAATTTTAAGCAGAAATTCCTTTTGAGTGAATGTCGGAAAAGGAGAGGAAGAGAAAAGAAACAGTTGATATGGTTTGGCAATTTAAAGAAGAAAAGCAAAAAGCAAACCAAACACCAAAACCTGAAGCGTTCAAGACAACTTACTGTTTTCTTCTACTTTGTTATATCCTAAAAAAGAAACACTTAAATTTGTGTTGGAGGGGATCAAATAAATTCTAAATTGCATTAGTTTTGTAATACTGGTAATGCTTAAGTAATTTTCTAAGACAAATCTAAGTAATTTAAAATTGCTAACCTTTTAAAGGGAAGTTGTATTGATGTGCCTTGAAATGGTGGTGGTTTGTGTGTAAAATCTGAGAGATGTCATAAAGGAAAAGAACAGATTACTTGTGGCTTTTTATTTATGTTTTTTTCCCAACTGTAAGGGTATTCATTTTTTATTTTGCAGAGAGTTGGTTTTGTTTCTTTTCCCTTAATTTTGCCCTCACATTAACTGGTAGGTTGAGAGAACATCCTTGCTAGACGAGTTCATTCAACGTTAATTAGAAGATGTAGAGGGAGAATTTGACCTTTTTTCATTAGAGAGGAGTGAAATGGGAGAACATTATACAATGATTCTAAAATGTTGCAAGACATGGGGCATTATCAGGGTAAGTGGCTGTAGCTTTCAAATGCACCTACCTGAGCTAAGTATCTAGCACATGCTGACCCTCCTCCTGTATTCCTACTGAAAACAACTTCCGAATTTAACTGATTCATCAAACATTGTGTGCATCAAAGCCTGAAAAAAAACTTCAGAAATACCCATATCGGTTTTCTGAATTCTAGTTTGCAACTATAAATATCATAATAAAACCCCAAAGTATGTACTTCAGAAATGCAGTGAAGCATCTTAAAGTAATGCATCTTAAAGATGCACACTTTGAAATCAGCTTTAAACATTTGCACTTAAATTGTATATAGTCCTTACACTTCTGGCAAGAATTACACAAGTTTGGTGTAAAAGCTGTACGTAGCTGCAATTTTTTTTCCTGTTCTCAAAGCTTAACAACAATAAGTACAGAACAAAATAACAGATATCAGTGTCCTACTTAAGGACTGAAATAATTGATTTTAATAGTATATAAATCCATTGTACTGGTTTATTTGTTGCATAGAGTTGAAGAAATACCAGCTTGCAATGTTGGATTACTTTTGCATATTCAGCAGTAGGCTTTCTCCAAGTGTCTGCTTTAGGTATAAGTTCAGCTCAAAATCTGATAGCTGATAAATAGAAGACTAAGGTTTTTGAGCTTTGGAATCTATCACCAATTATTTCCAGAAGTGAGTCAAACGTTACTGTAAGGGTACATTAAAAGAGATGCTTTAAGGTAAGAAATCCAACAGCAATATATTGCCCAAGACGGCTCCTAGTTTCTTACAGGAGCTTGTGAAGGAGGAGGGGGAGAAATTCTTGTAAGGATTAAACTTCTTTTTTTTTTTTTTTTTTCCCCCCTCAAGTTTTTTTTCGGCTAATTTCTTCTATATCGAGAATTGTTTTACCAGGATCAGGAATAGGAAGGAGTTGTATCAAGATAAATGTCTCCTCCCCAGACCTAGTACTACAGAGTACATATGCCAAGGTATAGTAGAATTTCAGAAGTTCCCGTTTCCATACCTAACCTGCACACATGAGCCCAGATTCATATAAGTACAGATGTTGGTCTGGTTACCCTAGAAAATAAGGACATATATTTGCAAGTGCAGTTCATTTCGAGTATGGAAAAGATTCTGAAGATCTTAGAAGGCTAAGAGGAAGATCAAAGGTATGGAACAATTTCCACGTTAAGAATGAGTAGGATCCTTGGTCAAGGACATAAAAGGCAATGGAGGAGTATGTGATGAAAACCTCCAAAAAATGGCTTTAGTGTGCATACTAAAGTGATGGACACATTACCTGCTTAGTGCATGAAGTAACATGAAACTGTGTTTGTTGAATTGACAACAAAAGGACCTTTAGCATCTGAGATATTGTGCATTAATGACTTGCTTTAAATTGTGATATGAAGGGAAAATGAAATGTAAAGGTACTACTGCTGATTTGGAAGGACTCTGAACTTTCAGTTTGCCAGAGAATGTTCTGAGGAAATGTCACTGTATGTTTGTCATTTTAAGTATTTTCTTTCTTGGGCATTTTCTGTAAGGCCCAGGGCAGTTCAGATGGTGACCCAGGACAAACAAAAGGTCTAGGTGTTGTGGTTTTGAAAGATATCTGTGGAAGAGATTAATTTTTCTTTTTAATTGGATCTAGGAAGCCTACAGCAATTACTTCAGCTATTAAATTCACTTACAAAGTAATTACAGAGACAGTGCAAGCATTAACCTAGCACAAGAGAGCGAGCCTTCTGCTATCCTGTGCTGTTTTCTTAAGCCAAATAAAGCAAAAACATTCATAATAAGCAGAGGCAAATCAAGGTATGTTATTTTCTCCTAGGGGAGAAAAGGAAGGTTAATGGTGGTGCTGGCTCTGAAGTGTGGAAGAGGGCCTGACAGAAGGGTTTGTCTTAGCCTGGTCCCTCACTGGTGCACTGTGCCGCAGTGGTGCAAGTTTAGCTGTTGTGCTTGTGTGGACAGGCTGGAGTATCTACGCTCTAGCAAGTGATGAAACCACTCAGCCTTGCTTGAAATTGACTGTCCTTTTTAAGCAATGCACTGCCAGTTCTCACTTGAAGGGATGATTTCCATTAGTCCCTATCTACTTTGGAATTGCTGCAGTGATGCTGATACTTTGCTGGTTTTGAGTTTATTGGTGTGTTTTTCCCTCTGATAGTATAAGGCTGTTAACTGCTGCCTGCTTTTAATCACTGCAGTTGTATTTTCCTTCTGAAAACTATTTATTACTTTTCTTGACCTAATATTTCTACAGTATTTTAAAATTTTCCAACTACTTAACCATCAGTTGAAATCCCAAAGCCAGATGTGTCTGACAAGGTAAGGACAGCATATTGAAGGAACAGACAATTTAATTGTTAAGGCTATGTAAACAACAAATGGTATTACTCAGTTACTGAGACATCCAAGGAAGTATCTTAAAAACAACTCTTAATATAGGACAATCTAAAAACAAAATAATTACACGTGTGAACTATGACTTGGTATGTTAGCATGCTTACAGATGTCTCAGGTGCAGAGGCTGTTTCCCTTGGCCGATGTGCTTAAGCAGCTGCTGTTAAGGTGTGGGAAGAAAATGTACGTAGTAATGACAAATTTAATCTCTTATTTGGGGATGGGGAGAAGCCAAAAGTCAAAAAGTTAAACTTGCTTGTTTGAGCCAGTTTTTATTAAGTGAATGCTTGTAGAAGGTAGCTGTACACAGTGACAGGGTACAACATACTAAAGACTTGGAGTAGAACTGGTAATTTGTTTTCCAGTTCTGAGACTGAGTGTAAACATGTGGAATGCTCTGGTTTAGTTTAGTGCTGATAGTTATAGAACAGCTGGCAAAGTCAGCTAGCTGACTTTATGATCTTTGTGTTTATCACTTTATATTTGCAGAGATAGATACTTCAGTATCTAGCAGAACAGTACAACATTTGAAACTGAGTAATTAAAGCTGTTTTCTTTTCACTTTAGCTAGATCTTTTGAAACTACTTGTACCATTCGCTCTGTAGCTTTCTTCAAACTGTTCGCTGTCTGTATGGCATGATCCAGAGTAGAACTTAAAATCTGTTGGGATTAATAAAATACAGCCTTATTAATACTGAAGGCAAGTGTTTACATAGGTATAGAATAGAAAGTGATGTTTAATTAAGGCTCTGTGTGGCATTTTCATTCTGAATACATGTTGAGTAAAAATTCTGAGTTGTGTTGATAGACTGCTCCAGGTTTCAAGCTGGAATGATCTGTTACTGGTTTCTCTTTTGACTGCATAGTTTTTTTTGAACTGAGGGATATTTACAGCTTTCTGAAGTAGCAGCCCCAGTATGGTGTGTGCTTCTGGTACTGAGGAGGTTTTCTTCTTGTTTTGATGGTGGTTTGTATGGCTAGGGTGACATTCTTTTGTTTTGGTACATGAAATGTAATTCCAGATACAAAATCTAGTGCTCCTTTTCACTATCTGTACGGGGACTAAGTTGCGTAAAGAGTCCATAGGATACTCATATAAAATAATAAACTAATATATAAGCTAAAATAGTTTTTTTTAATTCTCTCCTGTCTTACCCTCAAATGGATTAGACATGCTTAGATTGTATACTTGCTAAGAATGGCATGTTCAGCAATGCCATAAAATGGTGATGTGCTCTTCCCGAGATAGTTGTGTGGCTTTTAATTTTCACTCAAAAGTCTTACATTTGCAGGAGAATCATCAACATTTCTGTTTCTGATGTTGATTGCAGATTTGCTTTGGGCAGACTTCTTGCTGGGTAAGCATTGATGTGAAAGGATATCCTGTGTGCTTGAGTAGCAGGTTTTGACAGCCTCAGAGTTTTGCCTAAAGATAAAATATATAGAATAAGCTGCAAATGATTTTAGTAAGCAAAAGAATTTCTAAACTTTTAATTAAATGCCTTCATAGCTTACTCAGTTGCAAGTGAATGAGAAGTTCTGCTCGCTGTGAAATTTAATTGTAAATCACAATCCTTCGTAATTTGTTACATCTGTATTGCAGTAAAACACAAAACATTCCAGGATGCAGAGTCGGGAAATCTCATCTAATAGCATCACATTCTTGGTGCTGTGACTATCTCAGAGTAGTCTGTCGTTAATTCTCAGCTGCTGTGCTTCCAGGCTATTACTGCTGTTGGGTAATGCTGTCAAAAACTATGGTAACAAAATTTGTCTGAGTTTCAGCCTAGTCTGTGCTATGCTTAAGAATCCACTTCTCAGACTCCCAGTGTTACCAAATGTTAACAACAGTTAAAACCAGGACTGTTACTTTTAAAGAAATAGCTGGTAGTAAACAATTGCATGTTGAATAATACAGAGCTGCTTTTGAATCTGTGAATGGGAACATCCTCTTAGTGAGTTTAGGTGACACATTTAGTAGTTAAAAAAAAGTCATATGTTTACTCTTCATTAAATTAGAAAGACTGAAGAATTACACTTGCTTTTAGGGTAAATATTTTCATTTCACTAACGAGTAAAATTCTAACATACAGCCTGCACTGTGAAAGATAAAATATCCTTCCTGCGTAGGATACAGGTGATTTTTTTTTTTTTTTTCTTTCCTTGCTGAGTCTACAATAATGGCATTTCCTGTTGTACTATGTATAATTATTGCTACAGCTTACCTTTCAGAAAGTCTGTTTACAAGTTCATGTGACTGTCTATTTTTTTGAGCCTTTTGAGTGGAGATTCTCTTCTGTGAATAAGCTGGAGTCATTGACACCATGTTTAAAACAAGAGCCACAAAAAAAGTAATTTTTTTTTTTTTAATGTATTTAATGTTTTTATCTGTTTATCATAAATAAAAAAATCAAGTAATTACAGCACTGCTTAATAAAACTTGAATATGTTAAAGATTTATTGCAAATGAGGACAGATTAACCTTTCACGGTTTGTTGAATTTTGTTTTGTGGCAAACGGTATGCGGTTTTATATTCCATTTCATACAGTGAAAGACTGCAGGGGTAGGTGTAGAATAATTGGACTTTCATAATAATAATAATACATAATGCTACTTAAATTTATACTTTTACAGTATTTATATACAGAAGTAGCTAATTTATACTTCTTTCTACTGTTGAAAAATTATATTAGTCTGCATGGAACTTTCCCCTGTGGTATAGAGAGGAATCTCAGATAGGTGGCTTTAAAAGCTAGATGTTAAACACTTTAATTTTTGGCTTTTTGTCCCTTAAAATCTAGCCTGTGATTGGTAATTAAATCAGTAATACATCATACTTACAGGATGAAATGGAGCTTTCATTTCCAGATAGGGCACAAGACTGAACAGACTCTTTGTAATCCCTGAGTCTAAATTGATTTCTGCTTCCTCTGAGGTGTCCTGAAAACAAAGATGTGTTGTTTAGAAAGCAAATACTATAAACAATATTTTTGTGTAGATTTTGGTATTTTTTCCCATCACCTTTTCTCTTGCCACATAATCTCATATTGAATGTTTTGTAACTTTCAGTCTCCCAATTCACAAGTTCCTTGCCTTGTGAATTGTTGTAAGAATCACAGGCTGAGACGTCTTCTGAATCACTGCCTAAAATCCCCGATATATTAAAAAGATCTGAAATATTAGAAGTTTGGGCCTGTGTATATGGGTAATTATTTGGCTTTCAGCACTATAATTTCTGAAGGTTTTGCTGCCATCAACACTACTGCAGTGTGACAAAGTACTTTTTCCTCCGTTTTACAGGTAGTGGTGGAACTTTAAAGATTGGCTTTCAGCCCTTACCATAAGTCTCAAATATTGATTATTTGGGAGTTTGTGGTGTGGCTTTTTTTCTTTTTTCTGTTTTGTTCTGTTTTTCCTTTGGTGGTGGTTGTTTCCAGTCCTAAAAAGGTTTGGGTTTTTTTAAGTTAAAAAAAGTTAAAAAAGTAACCTCTCCATATCCCTCCCCTTAGGGTCTTGTTTTGAAGGTTAAAATTTCTACAAGTGGAAGTGTTGCAAAAACAATGCAGCTAAAGAGGAATGTGACAAGAGAATTTGGGAGGATCTAGTATGGTACTGCTTTAGCTATTTAAACAAACCAGTACTAACAATAATGCCCCCAGTACATTTGTATTTAATTTGAAAGGATATCAGAGAAGCCAAGGACAAAAGATAGACCAAAGGTAAGGATAACCTACATATTTGAACTTAAAACTGAATCTAGGACAGATCAAGCTTTTTTTTTTTTTTTTAATTGGATACTAACAGCTTCAGAGTATTCTGCAGTGGAAAGATAAAATTGAGAAAAAGAAATAAATCCCAACATATTCTTAGTGAACTCCTAAGAGCTGGAGTCTTGAATGACTTGACAGATGACTTAACCAGCTCACAGTAGCCTAGGTGGGCTCTAGTTTGGGTTTGGTGAAAGTACATGATTAAAATTATATTATTAGGAGCTGGACTAAGGAAGGAGAATATTTCCAGTCTGTGTCAACCCTGACTTGATCAGAGATTAGGAAAACTTTTTTCCTCTCTTTTCATGCAGAATAAGAAAATTGATTCCAAAAACTAAAACGGGAAATGCTGATGTGAAATATTTCAGTTGCCAAGTTCGGAGTCTCATTCTAGGATGTGAAATAAATGCACATGAGGAGGAAATTTATACAAAAATGCCAGTTAGAATTATAGAGTAATTCAGGTTTGATAGGACTTTGGAGATCATTTGGCACAATGCCCTGTCAATGCAGGACCAGCTGAGATGAAGTTGCTTAGGACACTGTCCAGTTAAGTTCTGACTGTCTCCAAGGGTGAGGTGCCACAGCCTCTCTAGGGCAAACTGTTCCAGTGTTTGCCTAGACTGCTAGAAATTCTACTGCTGCTTCTCTTGTGTCTTGGTCTGTCACTGAGACTTCCACAGAGAATTTGACTTGGTGTCCTCTTCAGTCTACTTTTTATTCTTAGTGTCGTGTGCTATGCTAAGCAGTGACATACGTTAAAACTACAAAACAATTTTCATGCTGCTGAGATGGGATGGGAATGTGTTCCTTAACAGGATTCAGTAGTAGGCAGCAGCAGTAGTAGGCCTCTGTATGCCATTGCTACTTACTCAGGTTGGTATCCGATAAATCCGTTGTTTTTTTCTGAATGATGAGTGAACATGTTCCAGTTTGCATTTTCTGGACGTTTGTATTTCTTTGAGCATGAAAACAGAATGATATTTTAGTTGTATCTTGATACCTTTATGATGAACCTTATAAGCATATTATATGGATGTTTGACTACTTCTTAGCTGAGGAGGAATCAGGTTTAGTTGTAGAAAGAACTCTACCTGCATCAATTATTTGTAAAGGTGATAAGTAGAAGCTTAAATTAAAATTTAACAAATAATGAAATAACAGTCCCTTTAGTTAAAGGACACATCCTGACAAAAGGACCCTGACTTACCAGAGCTGTTAAAAGATGCTAAACCAGATACTTAAAGGTAGGTCTTGATAATCACGTCTTTGAATAGCACAGTAGTACAAAATCCTATGTATTTCTATATATGTTAACATATGCCGCATCAAATATTATCAGTAGTAAGTATCATACTGTTTCTTAGTAACTGAAACTATTAAGGCTTTAATTTTAATGCCTTTAGATAATTAGAGGAATATTTGAGATGTCTTCTGACAGAACAAGAACAAAGTTTCCCATTTGTGTCATTTGACATGGATTTTCAACTTAGGGCACAGAGTATCATCAAATGTATTTGGAAAATTTTCCACCCTCTCATGAAAATAATGACCAGGAAAGCTAACTTCTGCTATATAACCACAGAGAAAAAAGAAGCCAGGTGAGTTTACTGCATCACTGAATAGGGAACAAAGACAAAGCCTCTTCTCTTAATACACTATATAACTCTGAGCCACTTAAGGGCTGTAAACCTTCTACTAGTTCACTAAGATGGACTAGTCTGTAATATGAATATAATTCTGTCTTTTATAAAATTGGTGTTTTACAATTTTCTGGTTGTGGTCTATCACATACCTTAATTGTTTAACTGGTGATAAACTTGAAAACAGAGCATGCTTTCAATTTTATATATTATTCAGTGTTTTATGTAGTCTCCAGTATAGAGGCATGCTGTCATTCATGCACAGATCTGCTCACGTTGCTGGAGAAAACTCCATCTGTGACTAGCCAAAACATGTCACACACTTACCCTTTCATACTTTCTTCATCAGCGTTACATTTTTGATGTAATATACCCTGACTGTGGGATGGAAGATCCTCAACAGTGTATTTTTCCTCCGGTGAAAGGAGTCTCTGTTGCACCCAGAAAGCAAAACAAATTTATGGATGATAGTTTATATACCTGTAGCTGTAGTTACATATCAAACAGGATAGTGTAAGCAGTGGCATAGTGTAAGCAGTGGCGTCATTTGCTTATCACTTCATCGCTTTTAGTTGTGAACAACTCTACAATTAAGTTTATCTACTTAAGTTTCTAGTGGTAGAGAAGACTGGACAAAATATGAGCACTTTTGACTGAAGTTGGATTTCAAGGCAGACTTTCTTGTTGCTTGGAGAAGGATTAGTGTATATATAAATTCTCTCACTGGCTTAAATATTATGGGAAAAGCAATTGCTTGTATGTTTCTGCCTTCTGAACAAATAATAAAGGCAGGCTAGTAAATGTAGTTGTCTTTCCTGAGAGAAGCAAACTTTATTACAGATTTCAATTTTCAAGAATGAGAGTCCTTAAATTTCCCCTTTGGAACCCAGTTCAGCAATGTTATGATACACTCGAACATCTCAAAAGCTGAGCCATCATGCTGTGCAAAAACTGAAAGGAAAAAATGTTACTCGGCTTTGAGATCACACAACATAATCTAAGTTTGTTGTTTTGTTTTTTTTTTTAAAAAAAAGTATGGAAATGGATCTCATACCATTATGTTGGAAGAATGCTTGTTTGCTAGCAGACTTCTTTTTCCCAGAGGTTCTGTTTCTCTTCTGGTAGTCGATTCAGTTCTCTTTTGTAACCTGAATTGGTTAAGGAGAAACCTTTTATTTTATTGTTCTCTCTCATTGATATGACTAACAACTATGAAATACTTGCCAAGAGGGCAGAGATGGTATCTAAATGTGTTTCACAAAGTTTTGATGGCTAGTCATGTAAATATCTGCATCCCACCCTTTTCTTGTTTAATTTAAAATACCACAGAAATACTGGTGGTAGTGTGGTGTGTTTTTTTTTTTTTTTTTTTTTTGCCCCCCCCCTTTCCTGGGCACTGTACTTTGACTAGTCATTCCCATCTGAATTTGTGTGATTCCAAAGCATTTTATACAAAGGTATGATTCGACTCCTAGTGAAACAGGGTAGTGTTTTGGCCTCAAGAAATACTCAGGGGTCCGTAAGACCAAGAAAGGTAGGCGTGCCAGACTGGAAGGAATTTTTAGGTATGCAGTTACAGAATTCTGTAAAAGTTTTATTCTGGGAATTTTCTGGTTGCTTTCAGAGATACCAGACAACCCAATCTTCTATATTCAGCAAATTATTTTAGGTAAGTTTTTATAGAACTGCAATCACCATTTCAGTTTTCACTTACATGTGAAGACAAAGATTGCACTTGTCACCTTCTAAAGCAGATCCCTTGGTCTGTGGGATTGCATCAGTTGTCTGAATTTTTTCTCCCTTGTTCTTGTTAGGAAATGCAGTTTCAGTGCCTCTTCTTTCTGGAGGATCAGCAATGCTTGAAACTACTGAGCTCTGTACAAAATAACCATAGCATAAGACACGTCGTACGTGGTCACTGCATTGCAAGGATGTGACTTCTACCAGCCAGCATTTTCTGACTATCTCTACATTGTGATTTCAAGAAAATGTTTTCTAAAACACTGTGGAAGCATTTGGTGATACTTGTCTGTGGATTTGTAGAAAGCCATCAGACTTAAGGCTTTTTTGGTGCATTTATGATCCAGGACAAAATATGACCATACTTAGCAGTAAACTTAATTTTCTATGGCACAATAATGTTTGGTCTTGTAGTAATTCTGCAGTTTAAGAACCTGTGGACAAATGAATTAATACTTCTTCCAAGGAAGTTAGTGATTTAATTCCCCCCAAAAAAGTAGCTGATCATATATCCTTACTCTGAAATAAATGCTTTTGAAGCTGGGATTGAGACTATATTCTGTGTAGCTGCATTTTTATATTTGGGCTTCTGCTGAAATTACTGAAATATTTTGAAGTTAATATTTAATGAAAAAAAGCTTTCTTTGAAGAAACATGCTATCTAAAGCATCATGCCCTTATTAGAGACCATACAGTAGTACAGCTGCACTGACTTCCATCAGTAAAACAGAATAATTGTCTTTAAATAATAAAACTCACTGAGTTACCTCACAAAGAGAGTATGATGAATGGGCAGATTCACAGGAAGTAAGCAAAGAAGATGCGTTGCCTCTGCTGTCGTCATCCGTTTGTTCCTGGATGTCTTCAAGCAGCATACCAAGTCTAAATATTTCCCCTTCCACCTTTCTAAACCAAATTGCAATACACAATTAATGAAACCTTTTAGAAGCTGATATTTTATTTCATACTGTGATAACTATGTTGGGAATTACAGTACACTTCCCATAGGGGGGAAAAAAAATAAAATTAATGGCATTCACTGAGTCCCTTTTAAGTTCTTGAATTTATCTTATTAGTTATCTCAATGTACCTTGCGTTTCTCATTAGATATCTGAATTATAACCAGGATATATCCCAAGATGAATTTTGGCCAAATCACTTTTCACCTCAGAAAGGTTCTAACTGATAAATGAAGTAATGGTTGTAAGATACTCAAAATATGGAAAATACATTGATGTACTACTTAGCATTTATCTTCTGACCTCTCAGGATCGAACTCTCCAACGTTGATAGACTTGTTCTTGTGGTTCTGCAGCTGTAAATTATGGTGTTCTTCTCTAGCTCTTAAGTAATTCCTTTCCAAGGCATCAAGGTGTCTTTTCAGTTGATTTAATGCCTTCACCAATAAGAAATAATTTAATAATGACATTATAATTTTGTAAGCCATAATGATAGCTACTTAAAGTATGTAAGCCAGATGCTATCTGCAGTGATGTTGGTAACAGTTTTGGTACTGCTTTCAATTGGAACAGGACTGCATCATGTATGGCCATGTAGGACTCTTGTGCTGCTCTATGTGCAAGTAAAATATTAAACCATTATGTGTAAACTGATACCCTACAAGTCAAAATTCATAGCTTACATGACAACTTCAAGTTTTTCACTAACAGCTTCAAGTTGTAATCCTTAAGATTTAAGAATCCAGCCACCTACTGAACACCTTCATTTTTGCCTCTTAAACTTGTAATTTAGGACTGAGATGGAGAAAAAGAGTTGGTTTTTTTTTTTTTTTTAACATCTGGGGAAAGCATGGAGTATCTTGGCAGAAAATGGTTTCTATACCCATTTAAATTGCATTCAGATAACTGAAAATACATAATTTACCAGATAGTTGTCTTGTAAAAGCAATGTATCTTGTGTCATATGCTTAGAGAAGTCTTCCACCTTCAAGACAAAATACCAGACTTTTATTTGGCATTTTAAAAACAAATATGACAAATATAGAATTTGAGCATCAGTGCACATTATCTATTGAAACAGAGCTCTTTACTTTCTTCATCAGTTGTTCTGTTTGATCTCTCAGCATTCGAGACCTCTCTTCTCCTAGTGTCAGTTCTGGCAGCCTGTGGGGCGCTGGGGAGCGTGCCGCTGCTGTGCCAGCGGCTGGCAGCGCTGAGGCTGCCGTTCCACGCTGTATGCCTGTGTAATGTGAGATGAGATCAGTCACTTGGACCTTCTGTCCCACAGTGCTATAAATTACATAGTCATTTGCATAGGTACTGCCATTTTATTTACTTGGTTGAGACAAACCATGTGCAGATTGCATAGGGGCAGGAGCAGGTAATGTAAAGACTTCAGAGGATGTCCCAGTGCCTCCTGAGGAAATGGCAATGCTGGCATTTGGAAAACTTGCCTGAGGAGGTATCTGTTAAAATGAGAACTTTGGTTATAGAAATAATGTATGTAACACTTATGGACATAAATTTAGAAATAAAATACATAAGACAAGTTAACGTTTCTTGTAACAGTACCATGTAATTTTCTGTAGTTATAGTTTGATACATGTATAGTATCTCATTGTAGAAATACTTAACTCTGTGTTATGAAAATTTAAAGAGCATTTGTATAAATGGGAAGTATGAGATGAAGGTGACAAAGCAGTTTTGGGGAGTAGTCATAGTCCTGAACATAAAGGAGAATTAATCAAAGAAAAAAAAAAAAGATTTTGAGAGCTGTACCTTAGGATTCAGTCTCATATGATGAATATGTTCCTGGGTGTCAGCATGATGTGTTGGCATCTTGTTTGCAGCCAGGGAATAAGATGTAAAACTACTGAAACCTGTTATCTTGAATGCTTTACCAAGATACAAACCTAGGAATGGAGCTCCATGGCAGAGCATGACATAGACAAGTGATTATCTAATTCCTAACAAACTTTAGAAGAATCTTACCACACCAAGAGAAATACTGTTATCAAACAAAACCTTTTTAAAAGAACTGACTAGTCAAAAATTACTATTATAAATAGCTGAGAGTCAAGATGTGAAAAAAGACAAAGATGTTTTCATACTGTGCCTGTGTTTATATTAAAAATGTATTTTTAAAAATACCTTTCAATTTAGTACTTTACATGTAAATATTCAAATTCAACTAATACTAGAAACAATAATTTATAGTGAACTTTCTAAAAGTCCAATAGGATACTTCATAATTGCAGATAATAATTATCTATTTGGTAATGAAAGGTCCCTGTAAATTCAGTCCCACAAAATTCTGCTTGTGAAAGCAGTTGTTGATTGAAGTGATGAACTCGCAGAGACTGACAGATGGTCTGCACAAACTGCTCATGTGACTTTACTGGACACAGAATATTTTCTTATGGTAAACATCACTCTCAAGTGTTAAGCATTTTGTAAACTATCTTACCTCTAGCTGTTGCAACAGTTCTGGAATGGTCATTTCTCCTTGATTCTTTACTTCAGCAGAACTGAAATAGTTATTTTCTAGAATGTTGTTCACAGTTAGTGATTTACTTAGCAAAATAGGGAAGGGTTTTGTTCCTTCAGTTGTAAGAACTGAGTTAATATTGTCACTTCTTTTTGGTACTTTAACTTCTGAAGCAACTTCAGAGAAGTCAGGAAGGGAACAGTGAGCTTGACCTTGGCCACATTGGAGCTCACAAGGTGAAACTGTTTTCTTAAACAGTCTGCTCTCTTCTTTCATGTTTTGAAAGATGTGCGTGTCTTCATTCTCGTTAATCAGTTGTGAGTTTTCTTTCTTGCACCCACACTCACCAGTAGAAGAAATTAGTTTCTCTGAAGCATATCTGTTTCCATTTAGTGAATTTTGATTTTTATCACCAACATTTACTTCCTCGTGCTTTTGTGAGTGATGGTCTTCCAAGTTAGTTGCCCACTGTTCATGTGCTGAGGGGCCTTTGATGTGTTCTGAAGGCTCGGGTTTTTTCACATGGTCATCGATACTTTCAGAAAAGGATGTCTCTGGTATTGTCTCACATTCAATTAACTGGCATGTGCCTATTGATTCTCCCTTAGAAAAATGGCGCAAAAGGATATTGGACATTTTTGAGTTAGTGAGATGTTCTTTGCTCTCTGCTTTACTAGAACTACCAACAGGTACTTTCTTCTTAAATGAAGCTTCGCTTCCAGGCAGTTCAATTAGACTTCTCGTCGTTCCGATGGCCTCTCTGTGGTAACTGCAGAATTCTTCAGGCTGTAGATGAGTTTCATAATTTGCTGTAGCTTTTATGTTTTTGTTATCTTCAGAACAGGTCAAGTTCAAAATACCAAAAATATCTTGTGTACAAGTACAGTCACTCAAATTACTTGAATTATTATTGTATTTACCTGTTATTCCTACATCTCCGTCATAAGGTAAGTCATCTTGTTCCTCATCAGTTCCATCTGGGATGCAGCCTAGTTCATCTGGAAATGAACTGTTCATTTGGGTTTTCATCCAGCGTGAGGGTCTGCATCTTTCTCGAGTTTCCATAGCCCGTTTATGTAGAATATGAATACCATTGCTTCTGATTTTTGTTTTGGATGTTCAGTTCAATCAATTATCACTGATTTTTTTTTTTTGGAGAGAGCTTTTAGTATTCCATGGATCAAAATCTGTAATGTATGAGTAATTATTTTATACTTAAATACACATGAAAGTAAGATTTACATCTGTATTGTATATGCTGTAGGTTTCTTAGAACCCTTCCTCTGAGATGGATATTTTTATATTTGCAGTAGTGCAAGTCTGGATTAACTACGGGAAGAAATAAAGACACAAATGACAAAAGCAGTGGGGAAAAGCAGAATGGAGCTTAGTGCCAGATAACTGTCCTTGCTTGTTAATCCTGCTCTAGTGTCACAGGCAAAACTCTTGGTAATAAGAGACAACAGTACTACTAGAATTCAAACTCAAAAAAAAAAAAAAGTATGAATACAATTTCTAACACTCTAAAACTCACCTAAAGCATTTCGTCAGGTGTTGCACCAGAGGGAAAAAACACCAAACTTTTTTTCCAATTTATTTCTTACTCTATTTCATCAGATAAAATGCAATGGATTAATATGATATTGCAATAATGTGCAGTCTCTTCCTCTTCATAAAACACGCCGTTTGGCCGTGCGGGCAGTCGCTGGGAGCGGAGAGCGGAGCTGTAGCAGCTCTGCCGGTCTGTGGCGGCAGGGAGCTTGTGGGGCGAGGCGCGGCGGGGGTGACGTGACGAGTGCGGCGGGGGGGCGCGTG